GACAGTATGTTAAAATGTGGATTTGTAATCTTTTTATGGAATAGAATTTTAGCAAATAAAATTGATTATAAATACGATTGTACAGCTGAATCGCTCTCTTCTTCTTCTTCTTCTTCTTCAGTGAATGTAATTTCACTCCTACATCCACCGAGTAATTATTGTAGTGTGTGTGCTCCTGATTTCAACAGATATGAGTAGTATGTATCATCAATCGTAAGTGAAATGTTTGGTTGCAGAAGGTTATGAAGATCAAAGAAAAGAGAATGATTGATGTAAAAACGAAGGAACAACAAAGTTTGGGACAATTAATGAATATTTTACAAATGAAGTATTTACTGTACAGTTCTCAAATTTCGCCAAGTTGTTCTGTAATTTTGTATTCAAAATACATCCAATTGTTTGAGATCATGAACCGATTGATGTTAGACCACCGTTGGAAACATGGAGTCAATGTACGGCCTTTTCATCGTATTTCGGGACTCCTCAACAGTACACACCTACGATCCCACTCGCGGATCGAACCCATGGCCTTCAGTCTCGCACGCGAACGCTTAACCAACGGTGGTCTAACATCAACCAGTTCATCATCTCAATGAAGAACTTAATAATCTCTACAACTCCTTTACTGAACATTCAATTGTCTCCATTTGTGTTCTTATTCATTACACAATCTTTGAAATGATCAAATATTGAAAAGACAACACCTTATTGATATATATATGTTCATAATGTTTACTACAAAAGAAATTGGATCATCTTAGCAATAATTAAATCGAATAATTACAACATCACTATACATACATACATACATACACGTACATGTATCAATTTAGTTAATCTATGCTTCTTTTTTTAATAAATCGAAGATAAATAAATAAATAAATGAACAGAACAAAGAAAGAGAAAAAAAACAGGGAGGGGGGAAAACAAAACAAAAAAAGAGAAAAGAAAAACAGTCACAGTAACTATGTCTATATATATTATAGTGATTATTATTTTATAATAATCAATATTATCAGAAACCTTTACTCAAATCACAAATAACACATGCACATATAATGAAGGCAATAGAAGGTGATTTTGTTTTTCTTTTTTTAGAAAAAAAACTATATATATATGATTACTATGATTAAAAGGCTAATTTAGCGGGGGGGACAAACAAACAAACATTGTAAGCATAGCAATTCATAATGTATTATTTCTATTAACCGGTAATGAATTACAATTATATATGGTAAATTTTATGTAAATTAAATTTTAAAGGTAGGAGATGAGTACATGGGTAACACACACATACGCAAAATTTACATTATACAAAGTTTCGAAATGAAAAACCCAAAAAAACCAATATTGTTTATCCTTTTCCCAACCCTCTTCTCTCTCTCTCTCTCTCTCTCTCGCTTTGTATTCACTTTCCATACATTCTCATTATAATTAATGAACGATAAATACACAGTTGATTTTGAGCTCAAATATTTGTAATATAAACTAGTATGAATATATACATCTTAACTATCACTAGCTATTCGATGAAATTCCATTCAATTAGGAGATCTATTCAACGGATCGATAAGTTGTGCCTTAATCAATACAACATTCACTATTCTTATAATATTGAACAAGTCTTTCTAATGTGAAATGAAAACTTCTCTTCCTTCATCACAACAATTCAATTAATCTGTACAGAAAAAAAAAGAGAATAGAGAGAGATTTGCAGAAGAGAAACTGACAGAAGAATAGAATGATACACGGTGAACGCCAGAATAAGAAGAACAAGAAGAATTACTTCATATATATATATATATAGTTGTGAATGGTGTATCTACACATACATATACAAGTACTAATACATATACATAAGTAGAATATACTCAACTACACACTTACACATATAGACCAATTTTTTCTTCATATTGAGAAATACATTAGAATTACAAATTTTGTAATTTAAAATTTATTTACCAATACATTGTCCTCCGCCCCCCCCGAAATAAATTATACAACATGAAATCACTGAATATATGTTATATAAAAGACACTGAGGGATAGGAGGGGGTGGAAACGATGGGATAGGGATTCATAAAAATATATAAAATAAAAGCCTAAAATCATCAAATATTATAAATAAATAAATAAATTTTACTTGTTTTCTTCCTCTTCTCTCTCTCTCTCTCTCCCGTTGTCCAATGAAAGAAAATTTTCCCATGTTATCATCATCAGTAGTATGTTGTATGGTATGGGTATTGTGATTAGATTTCTCTTTTTGCAGAATATAATAATACATATCACTAAATAAATGTGTGTTGTTTTATATACTCTGACTTCGCCCCCCTCTATTTATTCATATCTTTGTATTGTGACATTTTTCCTCCACTTTAGAATAATGTGCACACACACACACACAGGTACATTGTCATTATCATATATCTACAATTTCAGATAGTAACTATTCATGATAAAGAGGAAAAAAAGAACCACGAACAAATAAATAAATAAATACAAGGCATAATATTGACTATTATTTGATGTTTCACAATCTTTTCATCTCTTGAGCATATAGAAAAATATTTTATTTATAAATTACAAATAAGAGATAAGGAGGAGAGTGGCAAACAAATATATATATCTATACGGTATATCATGATAAGAAGAAACAATAAAAAAGAGAAATGAAAACACAGGGGGGAGGAGGAGGAGAACAGAAACAATGAAAGCCAATCAATCAACCACAGAATATACGAGCAAATTAACTCATTATACAGACGAAGAAGTTTCTACTTTCTGTGTGTGTGTGTATATATATATATATAGGGGGGTGTGGGAGAGAGACAGAATGGGGAGATGGACGCAATAGGTAGACGGGTACCAGTAGTATGTAATCGAGGATATAATAATAAGTAAATAAATTAAATAAATGTTTACATAATATCTTTTGGCGCTGTAATATAAAAAATGACCAAATAAATAATTATTATGTATAGAATAAAATGAGAAAAGGTATTGCATAAAAGCAGAATGGACAAAATAACACTGGTGTACTATTAGTCACCATGATTTATAATCATGTTGAACAATAATACATAGATAGATAGATAGATGAAATGTGATGATGAACACATATACATACAATGAAAAACAACCGGTAAAAAATCTATCATAAAATAAGCATTCACAGTATTTATAGAATGTGAATTATATGTATACCTTCAATGAATGTATCAATCAATTGCAGCAACCGGGTAATATAACGCTTACATGGATATAAGTAAGAGTAGTAAGGGGCAATAAGTAGTACATGTGTATATATTTTTAAAAAATAACAGATATAATTGTGTACAATAAAGAATGAATAGAAATTTTTAATGAGAAAGGCTTCGAAATACATATACAAACATGTAGAAGAAAGTAAATAAACAAAGAGAGAGGTTAAGAGACTACAAGATGGCACAATCCCTACAATTCCTCTTCAGCGCCATCGCCGACGTAATGATGTTGTTTCTGTCCACAAACACACATACATATATATGCATTAAAGGATGCTATACATAGTCCAAGTGGGAATAAACGGGAGATAATGGAAATATACATTTTACACCTGATATTTTTCACTGTACACACAATCGTAAACAGATAAGACACTGTAAACTATACGAATCCAATGACGTTCCTAGAACCACAATGACAAAATTGTAATAATAACGGTATCAGTTAAGTCGATGTCGATTTATTTGAGAGTTTGAAAAAAAAAGAGCAACTGCAAAAAAAACTGCACCAACTCTCTTTCCCCCCCCCGCCAACTTTTCTGCAAAGGTTCACGGTAGTTGGGTGATGAGCACATTCACCGATAGAACAAAAGCATATATTGTTCAATTGTAAAAATAGGCATATTCAATTATATGTCAGAGTATTGAGAGAAAAGAAAAATGATGAAACAAGAAAGTAAACAAATAAGAATAACGATAATTTAAAAGAAACTATGAAATCAACACCAAAGTAAAAGAAAACAGGAAGCCGCACAGACATTGATAAAAACACACATACACATACACACACAGTGTAAAATGCAATCATGATCGGTTCATATAACAAACAATAAATAGTAAATAGGCAAAATAAAGTCACCAAATCGTTAGAATTGAATGCATAAAATAACTAGATAATTGTTGATCTTAAGAATATGGTTTCCTCTGAAAATATAAGAACAATTATTTAAAAAAAAAACAATTTTGTATACTCAAACAACTGACAAAGAGAAAAAAAAATTCCCTGTGAAAAAGCAAATAAGCAACATATATGTATATTATAAACATATACACATATTTGTGTACATCATCACACGAAGAAAGGAAGGGGGCACTCGAAGCACACTCTCTCTCTCACACATATATATATGTGAACAAACAAACAAACATTTCTAGTTGTGTAACGAGAAAGCGGATGCTGTCGACGACATCGGTACAGTATTATTATTATTGATGGTATGACTATGAAACGATGATATGGTAGAGGAAGAAGAAGACGATGATGATGATGATGACGAACAAGAAGAGGAAATAAATTGAGATGAAGACGGTGATGAGGAACAATGATGATGATGATGATTCAATATTGCGCATTGATTTATACAATTACGATTATTTGTCAATAATAATTCATGATTTGTACAAGTTGGTAGAATTTGTAAACTAGTCGATGAGTCTAAATCATCAACAGACAATGGAGTGAAACTAAAACTACGCAAATGATTAGTTGGTAACGTGGAATAACTACTGCTATTATTATCAGTAATGGTAGTACTTAATCCATTTGTTTGATGACAATAGCTCAATGGTGTTATATATTGTTTTGTTCGCAACTGACAATACCTCCTACAGAGACACCACTTACTACTCCACTGACTCCGCCACAATTGTTAGGTGTATGAAGAAAGTTAAATGTTGATGAACTAGAACTACCAACAGGAGTTATTGGAAATGGTGAACCACATACAGAACCATTAACTAGGCTTCGATAAAACGTTGAGCAACTTGACTTGATGGACCTTAAAGAAAAAAAGCATTAAAAAAACAAGTGTAACTAAATTGTTAAACTACAGAACTATATAAATGTGAAGCATAAATAGTAGAAACAAAATGGACATGTGCCCATCATCAATCTGGTAATATGATTCTGTAATCCAGTGAAGAGACAACTGCTTGAGATTGGTTGCACATAGCCTGTTCGAGGTAGTTCTTAATTTATTGACTCGATATACATACCTATGAGGCCTTCCTACCAGCAACGAAGTGAACAATGTGAGACATATTATTTTTACAACCTACTTTTTCTAGACCTCCGCTCCTTACGTTATGAGATGGCAGTATCAGGTGAGGGACAATCATACGTTTAATATACTCAACAATACGACGTCAGCCCTTAAACCTTGAATTTGAATCTTTTAGTCTAATTGTCATTCAACCTGGATTCCTCGAACAAGTATCCTAGATAATATAGCCTGATTACATCATCATAACACACTACCTCAACGATACAACATAAAAGTAATAGCTAATAATTACACAGAGTTAGATAGTGGCTATCAGTGCAATCCGGGACGCACCTTTTACCCTGCATCGACAACGGTGAGATTGAAACACTTACAATTGAATTATAGTACATCGTTGTTGCAAATGCCAGTGAATTGTCTAACTAAACTCAAAAAGTCAATAAACAACACAGTGGTCATTTGAATCAAAAGATACTAAGTTCGAGTTCCGATTTGAATATCAACACTATTAAGTTGCAGTAACATCTAGATATTTTAGTCTTAAAAATAAAACAAAACATAATTCGTTGATTCCATTGCTAATCACTATCGAATTCAAGTAGGTTATAAGTGTAAATGATAAATATCCAATCGATCCATTCAGAATGTAGACAACATAACAATAATGGGAAAATTGAATTCCGTTCAACTAGACAATCAATCGATCGTTGATATTATTGATCATTCATTTTTCTTTTACTCTACTACTACTTCATTAATGAATAATGAAAAGAGATAGAAATCTTAGTGATTAGTTTATAATAACAATTGTCATGTAATACATATTTCTCTCCATATCTATAAGGCATGACTCAGAATTACATTCCATATGACTTATACAATTTACATTGCATATTTAGTTTATTCATCTTACACATCGTTTTATGAGTTTCTATGTGTTATATATGGATGATATTTTTGTCTGCTGTTTCCATTCCATCTACCTACCTACCTACCTACCTTCAGAACACGTACTGATTTTTTTTGCTTTCTTTCTTTCTACATTACATTCATATATCAATCATATAGCAGTAAATAAATGGATTCTTATAAGATTTTCTACTCACATGTTTATACATGTAATGTTATAATGTGTGTATATATATTTATGATAAATTCAATATTATATCACCACCCCTACTAGAGGTGAACCCTCTCTCTCTCTCTCTGCCATGAAATGTTTATCGATTAATGATGTGATTACTAATGAAGAAAAAAAAGATGTAGACTAACTCATTGTTGTCATAGTAACTTATTATTTGAATGTTATCTTTTTTAAGAAAAAAAACTCAGGTGCCTTTGTGTTCCTGTGTCTACGTGAACTCTCCCTCCAATCACAACCACCCACACAAACATATACACAAACTTATATACACAAATATATATGTGTGTAACAATCAATCATACTAATCTAGTTGTTTCATTTTGTTTTTCTGTTGTTGAAAACTTCGTATGATACTTTAATGTTGTTAATAATTAAAGTAAATTACCAATTACGAATGAACTAGTGTGATTTTTTTTTCAGAGAAAAACAAAACCCAATAACAATAGTCTCCAAACAATGAAGACACCAAGAGAAGAGATTAGAATGCAGAGAGAGAGAGAGAGAGAGAGAGAGAGAGAGAGAGAAGAAGAAGAAGAAGAAGAAGAAGAAGAAGAAGAAGAAGAAGATTATGATATTCAGCAAAGATTAAATTGGAATGAAAACAAATTTGTGTATAGTAAAACAAAACATGACCTTGGGAGATATACGAAAGTTAGAAAGCTGATGATGATGATAACCAATCAGAAAACAGTAAATGTTATACAGAAACATAAATGAGATGAAATCATCACGGGATTGTCATTACAGAGAAGCCGTGACCAGTGGAGCTAATCCGTGTCAGGTAGAGACAGGTATCGATCTCAGTACAATGGAAGAAGGTCGCGTAATTACGTGGATTGGTTGAAATTAGACATTAACACCAATGGATGCCGGTTCAGTGCGAGACCGAAGGCCCTGGGTTAGAAATAATTTTAAACCGAAGATTGAAGGAGAAAGACTAAGTGTCGTAAACACTTCTACATCAACATCTTTAACCATTTGTTACAATAAACACGTGGATTGTTCAACCCATCCCAACTACATAAACTATACAGTTATATAATATACCCTTGTGGGCTGGGGTAATTTTACATTGGTTTTCAGGAGAACCGGGCACCATCCAGACTTTCACGTGACAACCAGAACAGAGCAAGGGGGCACCAGATAATACATACGAGTCATACAAATCTCATTTGATTTGTGAGGGCCGTGATACTCCCCGGGTGCCCAGGCTTGAGCAGATGGATTTCTTAGCGGGCCACACCCAGAGCCTTCGACCTAAAGGTCTGATACACAAAGCAGTGGAGCAACGTCAGGGGACGCAGTCTCATGGTAGCCGGTGACCAACGATTGGTTCATGAGCCATTTGTTCCTTCATGATACGGGAGTCTATATGCACCATTAGTTCGGAATCAGGGTTTTCCAACTCCTTTAGGTGGACTCTCCGTATCCACCAACCCGGTTAAAGCGCCGGACATTCGCTTTTTGTCCTATCAATTTCGTAAACGACAACCCCGCCACGAGAAGGCAGTGAGTAGGACTTCCCTGTCAGAGGCTATATACGCATGGCCATGTGAGAGCATTTCGAGAGGGAGAGTGGACTCTCCCCATCCAGACTTTCACGTGACAACCTAGACAATATAGTTTAACAGGAGAGCCAGACACTACACAGGTGTAAAATTTGTAGCCCGAATAGTACGGCTCAATCCTGATTCACAAGAGAACCAGACATCATATATGCTTTAACGCTACAATCCGAATGGTACAATTCAATCCTGTGGTGCAACCACACACGTATCAAGCACCCTGGTGGACCATTAGCACCATTTATATACACATTCACATCACATGTTCTAGTTTATTTGTTACAAAACCTATAACCTAATGTTAATATTTATGATATACAATGAAAAAAAATAATTATATAATATTCACTTACGACTAGCACGACTACCTGTACGTGATTGTTGCATTCCATATTGTTGAGCCATGTTAGCAAGCATATCAATCAACTCTTGACTAATCTGAAAATTGACAAAAAAAAGTTTGTTTTTTTTTTAAATTATATTCAATTACATCGGAATTTTCTTTTACTGGTTTAATACATTTCATTAAGTAATCAAATGAATAGAAATACTTGAACATGAAGAATATTATTAAGTGATTATTTCGTTGTAAGATATTTGAACATTAGACACTGAACAAACAAACGAACTTCAATGAGATGATGCAAAGATCAAAGCTGAATAATTATGGCAAATCTGGAAGCGTTATACATCCATTTCATTCTTTTTACAAATTCCTTCAACCTAGAACAGAACCTATGACATTCAATGTTTGATGCGAATGCCTAAGCCTAAGTTCAATCCATCCGCAATATTATGAGACCATCTACCATTGTATTCCGTGAATACATTCAGCATATATAATAGGATTGAACTTCAATAGTCTAGAGATTAAAGATTCGCTAACGAAACCAAAGGTCTATGATCTGATTCTCAATGAAGTGGGTGTGGATGTGCATTGTTGAAGAGTCCTATACTATGACAAAATCAATATCCTTTATCAATGAACTATTTTAATAAGCCCAATATGTTCAAGTGAATGATGTTTTACAGTAACACTTATACAAGTACTATCTTTCGAAACCATTGATTTGCTTTCATAAAGTACTAAAAAAACAGTATTAGGTTAAACCATAAATTATACTTATTTTTTATTACTATGATCTGTTGATATAAAACAGATGACAGAATTTGAAGTAACCCAAACACGATCAACACATATGTTCGTCAATCAATATAACTAAGAATGTTTCTTTGAAAACCAACCAATTGTCAGTCAGTCATTCAGCTACAACGTAGGACCAGGCACATATGTGCATCGGTCAGGTTGCCATACCTCATTAGCACAGCAAGATGAACACCGGATTCATAAGAGTGGTTAGGTCAAAGGTGGTAATATATAGGAGTTCATATAATACTTAAGGCTTTCATTTATACTTTGTTTTTTGAGCAGAGAGACTAATGCCCGCGAGCAAGCGAACACAGAGACGAATACAGAGTCAAATCGAATCAAGGCGCAGCTAGACAAGGCAAAGGCAATCATTAACAATCCAGTACATATATTTATATGGGAAAAAGAATGATTCATCAAGAGATATTGAAGCAATTTAACATTTAAGGTAGGTTGAAGGATATGTGCGTAGGCTGTCACATGTGATTAAGAATACACGTTTATACAAACACGGTAGTGATCATAATACAAATAAATAGAAACATTGTTACTATCCGAATAACGCTGTCAGTTAAATAAGTTAATTAAAGGATTTGACCATAAACAAAATTAATTGTAAGAGAGTTGCTATGAACTAAGATACATGTCTGTGAATTTGTGGATCATCAGTTTTTTGTAATATTCAACTTGAATCCAGTATTAGGTATTTTCTGGCAATTCCCTGTTTTCAGAATTTTGTGGAGATTTTAGAAATTTCACAGACTGAAATCATGAGTCAATTGAAGCTAGACCACCATGGAAAACCTGAAAGCACTGGACGGCCGTCTCGTCCTAGTATGGGACTTCTCGGAAGTGCGCAACCACGATCCTGCACCCCGCGAGATTCGAACACAAGGCCTAACAGTCTCGCGCCAAGCGCTTATCCAATTAGACCACTGGCCGGCATCGTGGATGCGCACTGCTGAGGAGTCCCATACTAAGACGAAACGGCCGTCCAGTGCTTCCAGGTTTCCCATGGTAGTGCAGCTTCAATTGACTCATGATTTCAATCTGTGAAACTACCTGTTTATTTATTATCAAAGTGCCGCGTACAAATATAAGACCATGATTTTCACCGAGCACTTCAAGTTCTAACTTTCATTTAAGTTGTGTATTTTTTTTCTTTTCATTCAAAAGTTGGAATCTGTTACAGTGGTCTAGGGTGTTCATCGAAGACATACCTAGATAATCCTAGATAATTAAAATCAATGTTTAGTGAAATTACACACTATACGCAACAATCACTAACTGAATGAACAGGAAAATGCTTGGGAATGCTAGATATTCCATTTTTATTGCATATTGAAAATAGGATAGTTCATCTTACAATTAAATTTCACAGTTCATTTACAGCCTCATTTTTGTTAAACAACTTGCTTCCAAATGCCCTGAACGACCAAAAGTGGAGACAATCAACTCTTCCTCTCCAAATGTTCTCACATGGCCACGTGCATTCAACGACTGCCAGGGGAGTCCACTCACTGCCTTCTCGTGGCATTACTGTTGTTTAAGAAATTGAGAGGACGAAAGCGAATGTCCGGCGCTTCAACAGGGTTGGTGGACACGGACTCTCCACCTAGTGGAGTTGGAAAAGCCTAATTCCAAACCAATGGTGCACATGGAAATAAGGATAATAAGGGAACAAATGGCTTATAAACCTATAATTGGGGACCGGCTAACACGAGACTGCGTCTCCTGACGTTGCTCCACTGCCTTGTGGATTAGACCTTTAGGTCGAAGGCTCCGGGTGTGGACCCCTAAGAAAACCGCCTGTTTCGGTTTGCGCACCCGGACAGTATCACAGCCCTCACACAAATCGAATGATTTGTGTGGCGCATATCTGTTTGGTGCCTTTTTGTATTCATGTTTATGTGTTTAAATAAATATGAATTCCGCAATAATCTGAATCTATAAATTTACCGGAAGTCCCATACTAAAACAAAATAGCTGTCCAATACTTCTTGATGATTTTCAATAATAGTGTAACTAAAACGAGTCTATGATGAAATTATGTAAGTCATGTATCAACAACAACAACACAAACCATTCCTAATACAATAAATAAATGTAACTTACTCCTGAAGCCGGTGAATTACGAAGCAGAGTAGCCAATTCATGCATTGATGATTCTTGTGGAGATGAATCTTTCCTGTTCAAACTGTATTCACCAATGTTGTTATTAATACTATTATTATCATCATCATCATTCATAGTACAATTAACATTAGGTGATAATTTAGGAATAATGTCTAATGTTGCATGATCATCAGAAATGAATTGATTTCATTCCGTAATGAAACTGTTGATGATGTTGTTCTTACCATTGGTCCTGATAAAGGTGTCAAACGTTTTCTTGACGATGATGACATTAATTTAGGCGGTGGTGGAGTCAATGGTTGTTCATCACCAAACCCCATTCTTAATGATTTCTTAGTCATCGATTTATTTGAATAATTCCATTCACTATTACCATTTAGTGAATTATATTTATTAGATTGACCAATATGATTTTGATGTATATTCGTTATAAAATTACCATTAATATAATTATTTTGATGATTATGATTATGATGATGTGAAAATAAATCCACTGGATCTTCATTTAATGCATTAACATCTATATGTGGAAGACTACAAGCTGATACACTTCGTCGTGAATTATTAACTGGAGTTGAACTGAATTGTAGATAAACAAATAATAATAATAATAATAATAATAATAATAATAATAATAATAATAATAGTTGCTAAGTATTGTTACCAAGGTTTAACTTGATAATTTTAAATAAACTAAGTATTGAATAGAATGTTATAAATAAAAATCATACATTTGTAAATAGTTCAATGAGTAGGAAGAAAAAAATTAAATGTTCTGATGTTTCGTCACTCAATGTAAGTCAATTCTTCAAAGAATAAATAACTAAATTGAAGAACATAATGTATTATATATATATTGATTATTTATTGTTTGAAGAAGTGACTTATACTGAGTGACGAAACGTTAGAAAATCTAATTTTTTTTCTACTCATTGTGATATTTACAAATGTATGATTTTTATTTATAATAATAGTTACTGTTTTGAGTAAAGGATATTGAAATTCACGAACCATTAATATGAATTTAAGTAAAATTAGGATTATAAGTTGAATATGTGAACAACTGATCTTAGTTGAGAAATTAATGACTACAGGTATGCTAAACATAAATGACAGTCCTCGCCGATAACTCACCGGGAACAGGACCCAATAACTTCAGATTTTACGGCGAATTTTTAACTACTGAAGTCGTTTTTATCTATTTATTTTATTTAAACACATAAACATTGGTACAAGGAGGCAACAAATAAGTATGTGAAAGCCAGCATACTGACTGGATGCCCAAACCGAAGCGGGTGGTTTTCTCATGGAGCCACGCCCGGAGTCTTTAACCTAAAGATCTAATCCACAAGACAGTGGAGAAACGTAAATATATGTAGCTCATTGGTAGCCGGTGACCAACAATTGGTTCATATGGGACTTGTTTCCTTAGGTCCTGGAGACGATGCATATCACTGGTTTGGAGTCAGTATTTGTTAGGATATTCGGAAATATATACTAATATTATCATGTTAAGTCTAATAGTGTCCTTGGACTCGAAATAGACATTCCCAATTGGTCAGTATTTATTTCACTTGTTAAATATTGTGCAAATGTTGTTTTCTATTTTATGGTACGATGTGGTCTGGTTGGTTGGTATATAAACGTAGTATGTTTGAAATATAATGATTCATATCTCAGAGGCTGAGACTTGTGTTCTGGACTCAACTGGCTGGGCTAGACAGCGAAGTAGGGCCAATCGGGACTCTAGGTCGTTCGTGTGTGTTTTACGTGTCATTGATCCGGTCGATAAATACGCTGCCCATCTAATCTGCAGTCACATGTCACAACAGTATTTTCCAACTCCCCAAAGTAGATCCTCCGTATCCACTAAAGTCAGTAAAACAGTATCCGAATGGTGTACAAAACTCGCGAGGCGGGATTGTGGATGCACATTACTGAAGAGTCCTACAACAGGATGAAACAGCTATCCAATGCTTCCACCAGATTTCCCATGATGGTCTATCTTCAATTGACTCATAATCACAACTATTGAAATTTAGATATCAACTCATAATATACAATAATGAATTTAAAGGTCATGAAGAGAGAAGCATAAATACGTATGTAGATAAAAACAAACAACCATCCCTGAACTTTATATCATAGATACAACTAATTAGATTAACTAAACAGCTTGAGAAAAAAAAAATTTTTTTTTAATTATATGTATAAATCTGTACGTGAATAGAAAGAAAAAAATATATAACTAATTTCCTGTGTAGGCTGATGTAAGGAAATAGTTTGACCATTCGATGCAGAAAAAAAAGGGAGAGAGAGAGAGGGAGGGAGGGAGGGAACACCGAATCAATAAATTCATAATTCTATCAGTAAAGTGTTCAATTATTTGGGGTGGAGGAAAGGGGGGAAGGGAAGAAAGGCATAAATAACAATAGGGATGATTAAAAAAAAATAGTTAGGATCTATGATAATTCATTTCAATTAAGAATTACACTAACAATCTACTGTTCCTAATGGAAGAGTAATAAGGGATACACATGAATAAATATAATAATAATAATAGTAATAATAATACACTCTATCTTATTCATTTACACAGAAAATGCATGAAAGGGTTTGGAAAAAGAAAAAAGATCAAAGCATTTAGATAAATTCAAATTTGTATAATACTTTAATGTAACAGTAGTAATAAAAGATAATGGTAGCTTATTAGTGGTTAAACTATAACCTTGATATAATTAAAATTTATAATTATCTCGATATTTGATAAATTAGGAAGTTTGGTTTTGCTTAATTCGATTGTCATAATTGACTATATATATATACATATACTCACTGACTCGCTAATCAAAGATTGTTTACAAAATTCAGATGGTAAAAACTGAATATTCGACGATTAAA